TTATTATTATTATTATTATTATTATTATTATTATTATTATTATTCTATTAGTAATCAAATCTAAATGTTTATCAAAATGAATTGTTGGCTTTATCGTGACACTTTTCAAGTTTCATCGACTTTCTAAGCTAAAAAAGGATTACATTAATTCCAAATTTCTTTTCCGAAGCAAGGATAAAATTAAAGCTTTTGAAAATTAAAATTTGCATGTAACAATTTTTTCTTAAAATTTTCAACTTCATCATATATTTATTTTGCAGTGTTGCAAATCTTTGTTGCTAATAAAATAATGCAATGAATTTTTACAATTTATATGGAATTTATTTTCGGCACAAGAAGAATAAATTACCGAGAAATCCGAAAAATTAATGCGCAATAGTCGACAGAGTTCGACCTTGGGCTCTAGGGGTTAACGGAAGTAAGGCAGTCAGGGTTAACCATCGAAATTCTAGTTTTGCCTACCCCTTTTTTCAATGAAAAATTGTATTCATCAAATTTATATATAATAGTAAATATTTTAGTTAACCAAAAGACAAATCAACTTCTGCTCCGCTTCTTTAGTCCTTACATTTGTCTTCATTTGCAATTCTGCCATTATCAAAACGTAATGAATTTTATCACGTTATCTGTCGTAATCTCACTTGCTACATTATATCCAATGTCGGATAGCTACGTCATTGGTGAAAATTCAAATAACTTTGGTTGTTGCACGTCAGTTTACACTTTTTTTACCTTGACTTCTTTTTTTGACAAATAATTTTGAGTTATTAACTAAGTCATTGATATTAACTTATGTTATTGATTCGCAACTAAATAAGTAAAATTAATTAAAAATTATAAATTTTTAATATAAAACAAATTTTTTTCAACTGGACACGATAAAATTGCCATAATGAATACAATTTGTATTACACTTATTCTGTGCTATATTTTGAATATGAAAATTTGTAACGCAACACATTTATTTTTGTTTAATCAAAAAATTATTAATAAATAGAGTCACTTTAACGTTTTAATTTTCAATTTAAATAATACATTGTTATTAATGCCATTTGTTTCAGAATGCCATGTTTACCTAAATTGCCTTCCTGTAGTTGTAACTGTGGATTTGGTGCATTCCCACAGTTGCAGTTACCACAATTTCCAATGCCAGCATTACCAGTGCCATCGCTTTTACCTCCTCCAGGGATTCCACAATTCCCGTTATATTCTGGTAGCTCTTATGTGATTCCTAATAATGGAGAGGTAAGGCCACAACAGTTAGACAATAGCTACATATCCCAGCCATCACAGTCTCAACATCAACAACCTTTCTCATACCAAATACCATCAAGTGGACCTGACAACCGACAGCAACCGTCGGTAAGTAAAACGTCTCCTTGCAGTTTATTACATATCCAATCAATATATCTTTTACTTCATATATTGCAACCATTGTTACTAACACCAAATTTGACAAATGTATATCAGTAATGTTTTTAATGCGTACGACAGTTGCAGAAAAGTAAGATATGAAGTTGAGATAGATAGTGGACAAATAATTAATAGTTTAAAGAGATCAAGTAAAAAGTGTACACGTTTACGTGAATAAAACTGCCGTCAGCAGTTACAAAGTTAAATAAAGTAAAATAGACTAATTTGTTGCTAAAAGTATCAATTATTCATTTTAGTTCTTTTTAGAGATTTAATGTGAAATATAGAAAATTTTTATTAAAAAAGTATAAAAAAGTAACTCAATATTGTCTAACTTAAATAGAGTTCATGCAGTCATTTGAAATGTTTTTCTGTAGAGCACTGGAAGCTTTTATGTTCCAATTGTTTGCTGCAGAGATTTGGTGAATTATTTTACTCTTTATGAATAATTGTTCAAGATATTTAATAACTTAATAATTATTGTACAATTAATGAAGATAGATTATTATTATCTATTTTAATTATAGAAAAGTTGTTTTAATATATGACAAAGAAGACTTTTCTTGACTTCTTTTTGTTATTTATTTTTTCTATCAAATCTTTGCAGTTTCAAGGTATCGGAAATTATGGTTTTGGTGTAATACAGTATGAACAAAAACCGAATGGTGCATCTGGTGGTTATGTTATCGGTCCATACGGTAGCAATTTTGGAGATTCTTACAATATTGCATCAGTAGGACAAAACGAAAATGGATTTGGTGAAAGTTCACATCAAGTATCGGGTGCAGGCATTCGACAATATTTGTCTAGTAGAGCTAATACTGGAGTAGGACAAGATGTTCCTGATTCCCCTGCAGCTGCCACTAGTGAAACACTTGCAACAGAATCTTCACCTCCTACTGGTGAATATGTGCAAAAAACAAGAGTCTTCCTTAAACAATGAAAATTGGAAAAATGCTTCATAATTATTGAATGAAAAAAAAGATTATTCATGCATTATAGACTTGATTTTTTGCAACCGATGAATGGGATTATATTTAGTTGCTTCTAGAAGAAGCAACCTTTAAGTCGAAATTCAGCTCGAAACAAATCAAATATTTCTAAGCTAAAAATGAGACTGCGTTCTGTGCAAGTTTATTTCGTTTTGTTATATCTATTTTTGTTTGTTTGTTTATATTATGATATTGTTTGCTTTACATATCATAATGATTATTTTGTCTGCTCATGCAGTGATATCAGTTACTTTTGATGTCAATATTTTTAATACTGACAAACTTTCATTGTTAGCTCATTTTTGAAATTCAAATAAATATTCATTTAGCAACTGCAGCTAATTTAGGAAATTGATTCTGGCATATCTTATAGTCATTAATATAGTATAGTATAATATAATTGGATTTACTGGATTTAATACAGTATAATATGACATGCGAGACAGTCATAGATCCACTACATGAATCAAATAAGCGCAGTTCAAATGTAAACATGGCAGATATAATCTAAAAAACTTGAATTTCTCAGAATTATGTTGTTTGGTAACAGAATCACAATCAGACTTGCGTTACGCAAAGAACTATACACAAACAAGCATAAATGTTACGTCCTCTCATTCTTATACGCAAAAAAATTGCGTTGCATCAAATAACGTGAGACTTATGACACTTTGTACTCTTATTTTCCTGGTACTCAAATAATATTAAATGCATAATTAGTATGAAATTATGGACAACACATAAAGTCTGGATATTTGTAGCATCTTAAATCAGTTGTACTTCATTATGTATTATAAATTTTGAAACAAAAAGCAATTAACGTTCGCTGAAAATTTAATCTGCAAAACTGTTGTGAATATTTGTAATTTTTATACAGAATCAAAGTCAAATAACTTGTATTCTCAATGGTTGCTTACATTAGAGTATAAGATTCTCATTTATAAGAACATTTCGTTATTCTATAATTAATATAAAATGCGTTCACTTCACAAAGCATCGCATAACTTTAAAAATTTCTTGAATATTAGGTTTTTAACAATTAAAATTATTTAAAAAATTATTAGCAAAAAATATTATTACACAAATTTGAAGCGATTTTAAATTGGTAGCAAAAGTTTTTTTTAAACTATCGTGATTTTTTTTTATTTGAAAAGACTCTTAAAAAATGACCATTACTCAGAGGTTTTTCGAAACTAAACTCTCCTTCCACTGACCTCTTCTCAAATACACAATTCATGAGTCTTGCAGCGATTTTTTCAATCATTCGCTATTCGAATCCGAGCCTGCATTCATTATTTTTTATTATTTTACAGAGAGTTTTGAATTTCATTTTAGCGCATTAATTTTTCATTTTTTATTGTTCTGCCTTTCTTACGTGTCTTGTTATATTTGTATAAGTGAGAGATTTATTTATATTTTGTTATTTTGCATATCGATTTCAGTAGTGACTGTCTCATATATTGCTTGAAAAGAAGTATTATTTCTAATTGTCGAATTGCTGTTTACTGGAAGCAGGTTGAGCCGAACATTCTTTCGTTCGTTCCTCTCAATAGTTAAGCGGTAGGGCAAATTTGTCTGCACTTATTTGTTTCAAGTGTTAAAGTTTACACTTGATCATTATGAATAGCTAATGTCAAGTATGATTCAATTAATTTTGTAAATGATAAGACGAGTAACTGAAGGTTTTTAATTTACGTGTATAGACAAAAACTTCACATAAAGTTTATGAAGTGTACTGAAGACAAAAAATATATTAAATTCAGATGTATAATATTATCCATTCTCGAACTTTAGTAATTACAGTTTTACTTTGTTGTTCTTCACAGTAATGCTAATCATTACTGTCTTTATTTATTCTTTCAGCTTCCATTTCTGTTCATTTTTTTTCTAGGTATGACGTCTGAAATACGAGAACGCCTTAAAAGAATAATGGAGCGTACTTCTCGGGATTTAAAGGAGTTAGAAAATAAAAAACAGTTGCAAAACCAAAGCTCACAAAGTGTGTTCAGTTTCCTTGACTGCTTGAATTTTATGGTACCTGAAATTATTAGACATTTTTTGTATAGTACAATTCAATCTATTATTTAATTTACGAGGAAAACATAATCAATCGGGATTGCATTAAGCATTGTTCAATGAAATAATGTGGTGAGACACATGATGGTTGACAAGATATTTAGTTATAAATAAATTTAATATAATGAAACTGTTAAACAATATTAACTATACGACGGGAAAATAACTTATAGTTACTCGTAATAAAAATACACATTATGCAGGTGATGGTTATAAAGAAAACAGCTTGCGCACGCCTTCAACAATAAATGCGCGTGCAAGTCATTCAGTTCCAACTAAGTTGTTAGAAAATATGAGTATGATGAGGTCACCGTTAATTCCTGAAGTTGTTGAGCACAATTTACCGGAGCAATCGGTTGCTACAATGACATGTGTAACACCGTCTACTTTTGACCAAAATACTTCAAATTCATGTAACAAATTTGCTCATGAAAATGCTCGTCAACAGTATGAAGCTTCAAATGTTAGTAGGACACCTTGCACTTCCAACGAGAAATTGACGCCTCAAGCTCCTAAGCAAGATATGCTATCGAAATCAGATTCTTCAGATGCTAATAAATCTTGCACTTCCACTCAAAGTAATGCGAGACTGAAAAGTTCTAATAATAGTAGTATTTCAAGGCCTGTTATCACCACATCTCAATGTACGTATCAAAAGTGTTTTGACTATAAAATATTGGTTTTTTCTCTTTGATCATATTGCCTGCATTAATTTGTTTTGTTGTTTAGTGTAGTGCTGACATATTTATTTTACCGCCATTAGTAACTCGGAAATTCTAACAAATGTATTTATTTTGTGCAGGGTTTTTTTCTTAGTTTCATACTCACGTACGAGTCATTCCAACTATTTTAATTAGTAATAATAACAAGAAAAAAAAGTTTTGTCAAGTGCATTTTTAGGTCCTAAGGAAGTTGAAAAAGTCCAAGACTCCACTGCGAAAAGCAATATTATGGATATCAAATCAACAGAAAGAGATATGCTGAGACGACGGGCTAGTGTTCATGTGCGTATAATGGTATTTAATAGTAAAGCTACTTTTTCACAACATTTAGATAAAAAAGTTCACAAATAGAAACTCCTGACTTAAAAACAGACCCATAAAATTCAAATTTAGTCATTTTTAAGGAGCAGCCAGGAAGCTCACGTAAAGAGGTTACAGTTAAACAACATCCGCGTTCACATTCCTCTTCATCATTCTCCCATGATCGTTGCATTATTGTACGAAATCGTTCATATCCAATCATCGATTTATTGGGTAGAGGAGGTTCGAGCAAGGTTGGATTTACTCATAGTTATTCATTTTCATATTTATGTATATCTATCTTCAATAATGAATAGTTTTCATTTGAATTCAAAGTTAAACTATGCTCGGTTCTGTGTACTAAATTATTAGGTGTTCTGTATGTTAGCTCGTATTGTTAATTTAATTTTGATTGGTATTCTTAATAATAAATTTTTAAAAGGTTTACCAAGTACTAGATCGAAAGTACAAACGACTACTTGCAATAAAGTGTGTTGATTTATTGGAGGCGGACAATGATGTACGCAATGCTTATATAAACGAAATTAAGTTGCTTAAAAGTTTAAGCGATTCTGGTTGCGTTGTGGAAATGCTTGACTTGTAAGTTATTTGGTTTGAAATGACACAAGTAATGACGAATGTTATTGTAGTTTTAATAGTAATTTGTGTTAAAAAGGGCATCACTATTAGTATTTTTTAGTAGTTTGAGTATTAACCAGTCATAAATGTTAGAAAGAAATCAAAACTTTATTTTTAGTGAGCTACGTGGTAACGTTCTGTATGTAGTTATGGAAAAAGGTGACACTGATTTGGCAACGTTTTTGAAGACTAGGAGGAGTCAAATCGATGATTTATTCATTAGATTCTATTGGAGTGAAATGTTAAAATGCGTGCGTACCATACATGAAAAAGGTGCAAAAAAAGCTTTACTTTACTAATTGTTACATTTATTGGAAATATTGAGCACTATCTTATAATTTTTAGGGATTGTGCATTCGGATTTGAAACCAGCTAATTTCCTCCTAGTTGGCGGAAATTTGAAATTAATTGATTTTGGGATCGCATCAGCCATTCCAACGAATAAAACATCAGTGATAAAGGACACACAGATGGGAACACTATCTTATATGCCACCAGAAGCAATCGCTTCCAGTTCTTCTTCGGAGAGCGGGAACGAAAAATATAGAGTGAGTGCTATCGACCCCAGTATTTCCTTTGTTTCGAAGTTGCCTGCTCCTAGAAAAGATTGTCACTGAAATAATTCTTTCTAAAGTGATAATAAGTAACTTCAGATGTTTAGGTTCGTAAAAAGGCTGATGTGTGGGCGTTAGGATGTATATTGTTTAACATGGTTTATGGATTCACCCCTTACCAAATGTGGACTAATCCAGCTCAGAAAATGCATGCCATTTTACATAAGCCTATTGTTTTTGGTGAGATCGAAGATACTGATCTGTTAGATGTGCTGAAGGTATTTAAACTTTTTTCAAGTCTTATTTTTCAAATACTGTCCCGTTTGTGAATAATTTTTTGTGAAAGTCTTACTTTCCACAAGTGGTACTAAAAACTTTTTTTAGCGATGCTTAGAACGCAATCCCGACCAACGAGCAACTGTTGAGGAGTTACAAAATCATCCGTATTTGACAAGTAATTAATTTTTTACACACTTTTAAGATACTATTTAGTTTTCACTTTTATTAGATATGGTGTTAAAAAAGGAAGGATTTTGGTTTCAAAAAAAAATGATTGACACACTAACAGGTTGTTGGTTGTAAACTTGAACCTGATTTCATTTAAGGGAAATTGCATGAAGATAATGATGAGTTCCCACAAAATGATAGCTATTTTGTCGAAATGGCGGAGGATTTGAGGAACTGTACACCACGAACTTCATCACGGAAGCTCCGCCAGTTGATACTGCATAGCGGCGCTGTATCCAAAAAAATTGATAAATGAATGAATTTGCTTAAAACTTTGTATATGTTTGCTTGTATTAAACTATGCACTAAGTTTTTTTCATTCATTTGTTGATTGTATTTCAGAGTGTTTAAGTTAATATCAAACGCGAGTCAGCAAAAATAGTGATATTTTTTGTGAAAACAAAAGGATAGTTGACATTTAGTTTTATAAATGCGAAACTTGATTTGCAGAATTTAGGTTCTGATAAATTAACATCTATAAAGTTTTGTATAAAAAATTTTGGTTTTTTTCGGAAATATTTCATGACTGTAGCAATCTATAAATAGGCCTAATTTACGTCTTGTCATTACATAGCTTTAAGTAATATGATTGTACAATTTTTAATTTTGTTAATAATAATATTTTTGGTTGTGTCAGAGTTGTTTCATTAATTATCGTGCATTTATCTTCACTCCAAAAGTTATTTCCTTCATATTTAGTGAGAAATTGGGTTTGGTACTGTTTCGATAGATACGTAGTGGAAGACTGATATATTGGGTATAAGAATTTGTATATCATTCAGTGATTTTTCGGTAAGGGTTGCTGCATATCATTTGTTTATATTTTGATTTCAACTTAGGAATTCTGTTTTTCACTCTATTATTTTGTGGATTGGAATTTTATGTCGGTAAAAATATTTAGTTTTGCTGGATTTCCTGAAAATACGTGTATCGTATAATTATTATGATGTAGGATTATGGTTACATGCAACGGTTGTAAGATTTTTGAAAGCGTATTTTATGCGGTTCCATTAGAGAATAAGGAAAAGCTGTAGATTTAAACTTGAAGGGGGTGAGTTTTATTCGCTTAGATACAGTTATGGACAGCATGAATATTATTTTCTAAGTTTAGACTTGATCATTATCGTGGTTTTCAAACTCATGGTCACCTAAGCGACTTGTCTCCCCAGTTGCTTCCTCACGACGGTTTAGATAGTTTTTGCTCTGACATATTTGGTGATAGTTTCGAGCAGTGTATGTAGGATAATAACTTATTGCTGGTCTTCTGTTTCGATGTGGCCACTAAAATGGACGCTGGTGTTAAGTGTGTTGATTCCCGACATTTACTTCAGTTTTGATTACATTAGTTATGAGGTAGTATTGGAACACGTGTAGAAGTGAATTGAAAGTAAGAAATTGATAAGTATTGTCTTACCCCAATGTCATGCTGACTACAAAGAATTGAATTGCTTCCTGCTATTTGTGCTGTCACTGCTACACTTATTTCTGCAGTCGCCAACTGGGCCAGTGGTGAATTGATTGGCCTGGAATGTGTTAATTGTTGTTACGAAATTTAAGCTAGTATTCTAGTTTAAGTGATTCTAATTTTTAAAAAACATGAAACTGTAATTGATAATGAATTGTCTTATTTCTTGAGATATTATTATTACCAATGAGTATTACTTACCTAACCATGGATAAGTAATAGCTTACAAATTTATCGGCAGTATAATTATTCCGTTTTATTTTTTATCTTCAGTAACTGAAATTTATAAGATGGAATTGGCTATCAGGTTATGAATTAGGTTGAAAGGTAAGACATCGATTCAACTGAGAGAAAATAAGTATGGATGGAAAGCGATGAAGTAGCTGAACTACCTGTTAATCAGCCAACTAAGCACGAATACTGAGCACTTAATTTTAAGCAGTGAAGGATGTGCATCAACCTGTTTGTGTTGCAGGTGTTAGCACGAATGGACAACAGGTTTTGATCGTTTTTCCTGAGGCAGTTAAGACGTAATACTAACAGTTTCGCAGTTGGATCACTTTTACAGTAAGTGATTTATTTTTGCTAAAGTTGGAGAATATTGCTTTCTACTGTTTCAGTGATTGAGCACATACCGATGTTTGATGTAATTAATTTTGGGTACACTTCAAATAATACATGGGAACAGATGTGGTAACATATTTATGGTACTAGTGATTAAAGATTAACTTCTGTTATTGTATCGTTTTTTCAGGAGTGCAAAATTGTACTTTGACACTGTCGATATTTATTTTTCAAATTTTATAATTGCAAGTAATATTTAATATTAAAGAAGAACAATTAATGAAATAAAATTGTAAGAAGATGCGATCTCTGCAAGTTTGTAAAAACCGGTAGTTCCCACCTTAGTTGCCTTTGGTGCTAAATGCTTATTTACATTTATATTAGTCCTTGATTCAGTAATGATATTATTTGAAATAAGCATGTAAGCTGTTCAGAGACTTCAAGTATAAAAGTTGATCTCCATCGTTTCATGATAAAAAATACTGAACTTTTCTGAAACTATTTTTTAAGTAGTTCTTTAATCTTTTTTTAGACTTTAAAATGGTACTCAAAATGCATTTCATTTTCATTACTTTCATTCAAAAATCAAATATTCATGGTCACATTTAGCGGCAAATAATTTCCCTACTTGATTGGTGTATGAGCTGTTGTTTGCACTTTTATTCAGAAGAATTTTTGCTTATGAATACCTGGAAGTTTCTTGTTGAAAGTACAAAATTAGGTTGATGAATGTCATTCATATGCAGTTTATAATTTTACTTTACATTAATATGACAGATCTCTGTGGTTTTGGATCGAAGTCAGTTATTTACAATGAGCAAAGGACAACCAGATGAATCTAGTAAGAATTTTACTTCATTTGTTAGTACATATAGGATATTTTTTCAGAATGAGATCTGTTGTAATTCGTTTTTTATCATTCCATTAGACTTCTTACAGCGATTGAAGCAGTATGTAATTACATGCTACAACAAAATCGTCCTTATAGCGCTGTTGATGTTTGGAATAATCTTCGACAAGAATATCCTAAAGCGGCCAGTTTCTTATTATCATTAAACGATTTCCTTTGGGTTTTCTTTTGAAGTCAAAGAATTTTTGTATTTCTGTTCAGTTTTTGATTCTATATGGTATATATATTAAGTTTGAAAACTTTTATCTTTCACTGTTTTATTTCACCTGTATAACTATAAATTACCACAGCAAAAGCATTAACAGTGCTGTTAGATATATTACATTTTAGCAAGTTGTAAAGTGCTTGGATATTGGAGTGGAACGAAAAATTTTGTGTGAGAAACTCATTTCAAAGCAAAAGATTTATTTTGCTGATCAGGTTAATACTTACAATGTTGAAAAAAGTTGATCCTGGAAATTACATTTTATAATAAATCAAGAATAAAAATTGTTACAACTGCTTTTCATTCCCTTAACTTTGCTAGAGTTATCATACTCAATTGCTAGAATTATTTTCAGAGCAAAATTAAAAAATGTAATGAAGAAGAACTTCGTGTTATGAATGAAGCTATTGCCTCAAAGAAAAGTCGTCAAACTGATCTAAGCAACGAGCTAAAGGCTTTGAAAAGTGGTAGATGCTTAATGCTATTAACATTTTTTTTAATATTCGAAATTCGAAAGCAATTTTCTTCAAAGTTATATTACATGTGTTGTGGGCCTCAAAATAAGCTATGGATGAAGTACATTGAATGCATTTCTTCAAAAGTATCACAAGAAGTTTGTTTTGAATTTTTTCATTAAATTTTTGTATGTAATATATTAAAGTTTATCTTTTTCGAAATCACATATGGTATACTTTTTTAATCGAGAAGTAAATTATGAAGTTTGAGGTATACATAACACTTATCATGTTTTTTTAGAATTGAAAACATATGAAACTTCACTGAGTATTGAAGAAATGTATGCTCTGAGGGAGAGATTAAAAACAGAGGTAAATAATAACTGCAAATAATTTTCAAAGATAATCAAGATTCCTAAATTAGCATTGATTTTATTTTCCTAATCAACTATTCGTACCGTCTATTTTTATTGTGGAACTTTTTTAGATAAAGGAAATGGAACTTCATATTAGTAATGTAGAAGAGTCTGCAAAAACAGTTGCAATAAATAAAACAAAAAAACCAGATCTTGTTGCAAAGCTGGAATCTTATAAGAAGCAGTGCAAGGAACGAAAACGTTTAGCGGAAAGTATTGTGGAAACAATTTGTGAAAATACTGACCTTTCAAAGAAAAAATTGATAGTAAGTTGCTCATTGTTCATACATTTTGTACTTATATTTCTTTTAAATTAAAACAAAACATTTGTTAGCATCATTAGCTTTAATTTATATTAATGTCAACTAGTTTTACAGATTTACGCATTTTCTGTTATTTTCTCTTACCATTGAGGTGGTAAAAAGACATTGATTAGAATGCAAAACATTGTATGTTTCAGGATGAGATGGGTTTTGAAATGGAATAATTTACTGAAGAATAAGAGGACGAAATATTTTTAAAATAACAAGATATTTTATCCATCCCATTTTATTTGAAATATTTTTTTTAGTTTCATTAAAGCTGATTTGGATTAAACGAAAAACAAACACGTCACTGATATTTGTGATCGTCCAAAGGGTTGTTGTTGAATATTTGATCTCTATTTACTTCCTTTAAAAATTTGATTTTAAACTTAATAAAGTTTTATTTTTAAATGTCTGAAAGTGTTTATTCCTGAACCTGTGCATATTTCACTATGGTTTCTCATTGTTTGAACTAATTTTTTGCAACTGTCTGGCTTTTGCAGCAGCGGTAATTTTTTAAAATAGCCAGCCTGAAACATGAGTCCTTCAAAAAATCATGAGCATTTTTTAACCCACATCAGCTAAATTCTTGTTCTTTTTCAGTTCGCCTCGAACGTTCTAGAGAAACAGTCTTTTTTTTCTTAAACTGATTGAGCGTGATAGCATATTGTTGTTCGTTCTTCATTCATTAATGAAGCATATTTTTAGGTCATTTTTTAATTTCAAATATCTAAGGGGCTTTAATTTCAAATATCTTATAAAAATGAAGAATGAGATTAATATACTAGAGGATCAATTAGCAAGAAAAGATAATGCAACTTCCAAATGGATAGATTCTTTACCAAAAAATAATGTGGGAGATGTCCGTGATATATCTGATCAAGCATTTTGGACTTTGTCCAGTTGCAAAACAGGTCTGTATTGATTTAACTTAGATTTTATCTTTTTGTAGTGCAGCATAGCCAATTTATTTTTTAAATGGTTTTAGAAAAATTGAATTTTATTCTACGAAGTATTCTCGGGATCATGAAATGTATACAGAGTATTTCAGATGGCTTTGGTATTCAGCAGCTCTTAGACGATGATTTAGAGCAGTATTGGCAGTCAGATGGTCCACAGCCTCATACAGTGACTGTTGAATTTAGGAAAAAAACAGATATTTGTTATTTACTTTTATATTTAGATTATAAAACTGACGAATCTTACACTCCTAGCAAGTAAGTTATTTCTCATTCTAGTAAAATTATATTAGTAAATGGAAGTCGTCTCAGCATAAAGAATTTGAAAATTTTAGTAGTTCTTTAAATTTTTGTAGAGTAGTTGTACGTCTTGGTTCATCGATTTTGGATATGGATGAAGGTTTGACCGTGGTGTTTTCTGAACCAGTTGGGTGGCAGGTTAACTTCCATTTTTTTTTCTCATCAGCATTTCTGAGCTTCGTTTACACTATAATGTTCATCATTGCAAATGAATATAACTTTTTAGAATTCTAGCTGTGACCTCTTTATCATTTTGATTCATATTTTTTCTTTTCCTGATTATTATGTAAAGTACAATATTTTTAAAGAAGTGTCAATTTGATGTTTCAAAGTTTTAGGTTATTGACTTACGTGACGCACATGGATGCCCATCTCGAGCTTTTGTCCTTCAGCTTCAAGTTGTTCAAAACCATCAGAATGGTCGAGATACTCATATTAGGTGATATTTCTTTTCTTATGCTTTAATTTTATTCCGATTATTTGTTGCATAACAAGATTTTAATTTCTGCAGTTCTTTTATGTTTAAAAACAAACTATTTCTCTATTGTTCAGCAGTGTTTTATTATAATAAAATTTAACAGAATGTTTTTACTAGTAGTCTGTAAAAATCCGAAATCAGTGCAGTCCAAAAACTGATAATTGATAACTCGCTACATTTTTGCATGTTGTTTATTCTGTCTTGTTTTATAGTTTGTTTTTAAAGCAAGCTAATCCATGCTCATTATTTCCAATCTAAATTGATAGAAAATCATGATGATGAGAAAGGTACAAAGTGGAATACATATTCTGTTGCAGGCAAATCCGAATAATAGGACCTGCCCGAGCTCGATTGGATACAGGCGCAAAAACATTAATTAATGCAGGTTCAGCTATAACTAACGTTCCATTGAAATTTACTTCTCACGCAATTGCTAAGTTTTCCAATGTCCGTTGATCATTTTTCTATACTGATCTGTTTTTCAACCAATCATAGTCTTTGTTTTAATTGATGAAAGATAACAAGCGTTTTGGATCCTCAAAGTCAATTTTTCCGAAACAATCTCACTTGTATCTTAAAGATTGTATGGTCACCTGCATGTATTTTACTTTAAATTTTTGTCTTTTTTGTGCAGTTTTTGACGCAAGTTTTACTATGAGATATTTGTTTTCTAAAATTGATGTATGATCTTTTTCTTTACTGAATAAAATTTAAATACTTTTGGAAATAAAGACTACAAATATCCTTCACATTACTTGCTATATGTTTGTGATTGTATGAAGTGTTTTGGGATGTTGTAAATATGAGTTTTGACTACGGTTAAACTAGTTTTTGCTAAAACGATTACATTGTGGAAATACATCATTAAAGTTAGAAAAAGAATCTGTAGAAATGCTTGCTTTCATTGCAAACCTAAGTTGCGAAAAAGCGAATGATTGTAATTGGAATATGAAGCCCAAATCGTTGTAAAGTAAGGTATCGAATAATGTGATAGATGCGCACATTTTTCTTCCCTGCCAGAGTTGCAGAAGTATTTATGTAAGGTATTGTTTTTAAAAGATATGCTCATTTAAGTAATTGTATATAAGGTTTTGTTCCGCAAGTGATATTATTTTTTAGCACTGAAAGAAGTCAAGTAAACGCATTTTGATTTGAATCAGACGAATGATATTTGTTTATTTATTTTTGCAATGCAGAGGAGAAAGTCAAATGACAGCTACTTCTTTGAGTTCAGCTTTGGATTATTTAAAAATTCCGAGATATTAGAATTTAGGAGGGAGGTGGCTGAGGTATGAATGATATTGAGGACAAATATTTTTGATTATTATATGGAATGAGCTGGTGAAGAAGTAAGCAGAGAGCACAAAGTGACCGAGGGTAGGGCGATGTATTATTAATTAAACTACGACGTAGGGTAGAGGGATGTACCCATCAATAACTTTAGGACGGACTGTTGCTTGACCTCTGAACCCTGACAATTGCAGACAAGGGGATCTGACAAGAAAAGCACTTCTAGACAATCATACATCAGACAAGATCAATTCCGTGCATAATTCATATGCAAATTTAATCGTCTTTTAGTTAATTTTGTGTAAATACGTATTTGAGTCACTCTTTTCTTAAATTATCATTTATTCGATTATTATTATCGTAGAAATTTTAATATAAGATGGTCTCTTATGTTCTGCTTACTAATGGTTTTGCATATTTTTCATCTGCAAACAGTTCATAAATTTCTGGACATAGATCATTTTTAAATGATGATTAATTTTTTAAATGATTAAGTAACTTCAGTAATTACTTGATCTTGCTGTTCACTCGTCTACTACTAATTATTTTTTAGGATCTAAATTAAGTGGGAAGTCCAAAATCAGATAACTTTTATGATAATTTCTATATACATATTAACAATTAATTATATATATGCTACAGTGCATTGATTTATTCAGGAATTGGTTAATGGAAATCTCGAACTGGAATCTCTTCTAAGAAATTGCTACTTTTTGTCATTTTTCTTTACATTCTGAAATATTAATTTCTTCACAGTTTGATTATTCTTGTTGTCTTTTTAAGAATAACATTCATATCTGTAGCTAATATACACACAAAATAGTAGCTAGAATAGTAATGCGTTATTTTTCTATCTTTGTCAACCACAATTATTTACCAAAAATAATATCTCATCTGTTATTATTGTTGATAATGAATGCTATCATTGTATTAGTGCCAGTGGTACCAATAACAAGCAGTAATTCTTTTTGCGTTGGATTTGAATTTTTGAAAAATTTGAGAAATACCAATTGAATGCATTCAAAATTAAGTTACTGCACTTTTAATGTCTAAACAAGAAATGATTATTTAGTAAATTGTATGGAAAGTCAGAAAAATTTTTAACTCATTCAATATTTTAACTTAATTTGTGAATTTATGCAAGTTTTGGTGGTGAAATCAGAATTTTAAGAAGTTAAGGATAGTTTTGAAGAATGCTTCAATTCCAGCAAGTAATGATTTGAAAGTTAGCTCTACCTAATAATTATGTAAGCCGTGATTTGACGATTCCAGAATTGCAAACAGCCACAAGTGTTGAAGGCATCATGAAGCTACAGTCAACCTTACGTATATCGAATCATTTACGCACATGAAACTTTTGTATTGAGCACTTAACCATTTCATAAACTTAAATGTAAAAAAGTTGTGAGAGTAAAGTAAAAAAAGTTCTTCTTGTCTTAAAAGCATCTGGACGACGGATAAAGAAGCATCAGAAAAAAATAGTTCAGCATCAATGGGTGGTAGACTTACTTTGCCCTCTTTAACCTTTGCAATAATCTATTCGTTTAGTTTGACCTCTACAGTTATCCTTTTTCTATCTGTACAGTGTATGCTTGTCACCAAATTCAATTTGTTCATTTTTTTAGTCTAAACTAAGCTTGAGCATTTTGATTGTTAATTGCCAACTGGTTATTTTGTTATGTATTTGTTATTCACGTATCAAACAAATTGTCAAAAATAAGAAAGATAATATTGAACATTTCCAATTAATGTCTGTTTTCATTAGTCTTTTTTTAGTTAATAAAATTGAAACTGTTATTTAAAGTACAGTAATATTTGATAGCAATGTACAGTATGCTTAACTAGTAACTTTATTATAAAGTACTGCTAAAATATTTAATGAATAAATATTTTAATATTCCAATAGTTCAATTTACTGAGGACAAGATTGCTGTTAAACATTTTAATTTTATTAAAAATATATGGATATTTTGCCGAACAATTTGAGGGCATTTCGCTTATCTTTGAATCATTTATGAGAGTAATAACAAGTCCTCAAATCCCAGCACATTTAAACATAAAACTTGTTTTTTATTAACAAAAAAATGAAATATAATTTTTGCAAAAAATCATTTTTTCTTTTTGTACTCTAAAAGTATACTCATATAATGTAATGACTGCACTGAATGGAAAAATTACCATTAAAATTAGTATAAATTGCCAAAAAACTGTAATATAATCTTTTAAAATTGCTCAGAGATCAGAGAAATATCTTTAATTCGCTTTATTAAAAATGCAATTATTATCCTCTGAAAATCGTATAATTTTATCATGTTTATAAACTTGTTTCAAATTTATTCTTACATCTAAAACTTTCAAATTAATTTTCATCATTGAAAGCCAATTTTTTGCTAAATATTTTAAATAACAAAATATTTTAATTTTGGAAATTAACAAAACTTTTTACATTTTATAAATTATTAATTTTTTTTGTGTTAATTTTTCTTAGATTTAAATTACGTCATTTTCAATTATATAAACAAATAATTGACAAAATTCCAAAAAAAAAATCAAGTAATAAAAATCATAGTACGTCAATTAGTAAAGAAAATGTCATTTTCGATTATTATCGATATGATATTGAGTTTTTGAAAGGACGCCAAAAATATTCAAAATAATTTGTCATTTTCTCGTTATTATCAGCAAACGTCGGTTATAGCCAACGTTTGTTCTTCTGTTGATATAATTATCAGTTAAAATTAGAACCAAGCATCATTTTTCTTTCGCATTTTCTCAATTTCAAAAGTAAAAAATCTTTTTGTTTATAGATTACATTCAAATTATATGAAGAATATGCAAATTTCTATTTTGCTTATATTAATTAAATCTTTTTATTGCATAATTTTTCGTTTTTTGTTTATGAATTTACTCTGATTAACTTATAATTGTTCAGTTTGTTTATAATATAAGTTAAACATAACAAATTTATTCTGAATTCATATGTAAATTTTTGTTCACTTAAGTATTATAAGCAAAAGCGCATTAAATGAAACTGAGACTTTTTATATCACAATGAAAATTAGATATCAAATTGCAATTTAAGATTTGTAATAAATAGTGAATAAATTTTGCTTCTTATTTACAACTGTTAAATGATGAGTGGGACTTTGATCAGATCATAAGTTGTGATAAGTTGGAGGGTCGATATTTGATAGATTTATACCTCAAGTTCAGTTATAAGATGGATGCTGCGGTCTTAATCTTCCACGTTTGCTCTTTATTAAAGTCGAGATGAATACTTTTCATTTAAACTGCTGTAAGTGATGAAAATTTTTGAATTTTATTATTTTTGAGGTCAAATGATATGTATTATAAGTGAGAGTATTATTTCTACAGTAAAAGGATAGTGATACATTTTACTTTATCAAGATAACATACCTTATCATATCATGAAGAATGCCTAGCATATTTTGTCTTATCAATGATTTTTTGTCATTTTAAAAATGACATTTAAATAGTAACCTTAAACGAGACTAAAAAAGATTTTCAGATAATATTCTTTACAGTTTTGTCAAGTTTTCTGACTATTTTACTTTTTAGATAATTTGCAAAAATGCACTAAATTAATTTTTTCATTGTTAAATAGCATTTTGATAAAGATGTTATCAAGCAAGCCGTAAATGGTAAATTTTATCAAAAATTCATTGAAAAGCTTATCAGTTCACATTTTGTCGGCAACTTCACAAAATTTCTTTTCACCTTTGACCAATAATTGCATAATTACAACTTTTTGCAGCATTTCAAAGTTTTTTAAGGCAAATTTTTTGCTGACTTTATGTTTCATTTAATAAATATCCCAATAAATTCAATTAACTTTAATTCGACTTTATCCATATTTTAACTTTATAAACTTGCTATTATACGAAGAGTGTGAATTTTTAATGGTTATTGCATACAAAAATATCCTGCAAAGTTCATGTACAGTTAGTTAGCTATTAATTGTGTCAAAAACTTAAACTTAATCTTTAATTTTACACAAAAAGTAAAAAGTCATACAAATCTCGCAGTACTACAATAGCCGATTGCTAAAACATATTTGATGAGACTTAATTTTCAAGTAATAATTTTGAGGAATGAAAATTCAGCCAAACCATTAAT